ACCCTCTACCCTGCTGCTTCTCGGCTAGGGTCAGGTGGGCACCGCCCTAGGGTGGCGGTGCCTCACTAGAACACCTCCCTCTTAGCCTCCTTAGCCGGCCATCGCCATAGGGGTGGCGGTGCACCGGATAGGGCATGGCGGTGCCTTTGGGGTAGCACCTCGAGCCCGATTACGCCTCCTTTTCTACACCTTTTTCACCACCTTTGTAAATGTGCTAACACTCCAAGTGTTTCACCATCACATGCAAGTGTGTTAGCATTTTCTCAATCATTTTTCAAAGGTTAATCACTTTCTCACCGATTGTGCACTAGGCCTAAAATGCATATGCAAGTTTTCCAACACCTAGTGGCACTTGATGATTGAGTTGTCTGATAAGAGCTCCCCTCTTAATAGTATGACTATCTATCCTAAGTGTGATCACACTCTCTATAGTGTCTTGATCACCGAAAACAAAATGACCCTATGGATATCACCTTTGCCTTGAACCCATTTTGTTTTTCTCTTTCTTCTTTTCCAAATCCTGGAGCTTAATCATCATCACATGTCCACACTAGCACCATGGACTTCATTTCATGTGGCTATCTCCATCCATGAGTGCCACCTAGCTCCTTCACTTGGGTTGGACTAACCTATCTCAAATCCACACTTAGAGTATAGGGTTAGTCCAAATAGGTTTCATCAATTAACCAAAACCAAATTAGGGCTTTCACCCGCCCTATCCGCCTTGATTCGACCTGGCCCCATCCCTACACCCAGCGCCTATCCGTTCGCCTTGCCCCGTAGGTGCACCCCACCCATCGTGCCCCCAACCGCCGGCCCCTTGCGCGCCCCATTCCCAGGCACTCGTGCCGTGCCACCATCACTCCCCCGTGCCCCTGACTCTCCGAACTACATGAAACACGTGCAATATGAAACACTTGAATGCAACATACGTCTGAAACAGATGTAACATCTGGACATACACTTGCAATATATGTGTGAAAATATATGCAACATCTAGATAGAACACTTGCAACATGTAGCATGAAAATACTTGCTGTAACGGAAGACTAGACCAGATGAAACATTTGGAACATACTGTTGCAACATATGTATCAAACATATGCAATATCCATATCAAAATGCTTGCAACATACGTTTGGAGCAGATGAAACATTTTGAACAAACTCTCACAACATGTCTCCGAAATACTTGCAACATATGAAACATGTGCAACATCCATTTGAAACAACTTCAACATACGTCTAAAACGTTTAAACCACTTGAAACATATATTTGCAACATAGGGAAGGGGGGAGCCTGTGCCGGTCAATTTCGGCCGTCGGGGTGGGAGCTAGCGGCAAGCTAGTGGTGATGCGTGAGCACCACCGCCAGCAGCATCGGGCTTGGGTCGACCAAACGGGCGGCGCGCGCGACGGGCGTAGCGAGCACCACCAGCACCAGCACGCGCCACGGGAGGCGGCAAGAGGCGCGAGAGAGCGGCGGCAGATGGGGCGCGCGGCAACAGCGAGGGGATAGGAGTGCGTGTCTGCATACAGGACGGGGTAGCCGCAAGGCGCTGCGCTATGACAAGGGAGGAGGAAGCGAAAGGGATAAGGATGGGTGATTTTTTTAATAAAGTCGCGGGCAGAGCGAGCGATGGGGTGTGCAAGCAACGAGGCGGTGGGCATGCGGGAGCGTCCGACGATTTGCTCGTGTCGGACGCATGACGCGTAGCATTACCGATTTATACATTATGCTTCTAATCCAATATCAAAGTATTGTTTTTCGTTTTTTTTCCTAAAATTAGCAATATATTCCCACAAACATGCTCATGCATGGCAACGAAACCCAACATCTCTTGTAATCGGACACTATATTATTGCTGGACATAATTTGTTCTAATTTGTATAGTCGTGACTCGTGAGTTCGTGTCACGTATGGAACACAAAGGGCACGAGGGCACTTTGGGAAGTAAAAAAAGATGGTTGGAACAATCCATTCGTTTCTTAATATATTAGATATATAGATATAGATTTCTAATTTTCAATCATGTATAAATCCAAGTACTATTTTTCATTATTATTACTACTGAAAATTGAGATGTTGATTTATTGTAGTTTTATGGACTCTTTATTTAGATAGCTTGCTTCTGAAAAATTAATATTACTCTTTTGTTGATATTATTTTGAATTTTTCTGTTAATTAATAACATTTGTATGTATAACCTATTTATTTTGATACTTGATCTTCCAATTTAACTAGAAATTGGAACGTTATTTTTAATTCTTTTTACTCAAAGTCTAGCTACTTATTAATTGTATTTATATGGACTCTTTATTTATGTAGTTTTCTTCTAAATTCATATAGAAATAAAATTCATATTTCTCCAAATTTTTTAATTGCGAATTGAGGTATATGTTGACTCCTTAGAGCATCTCCGAGAGTTCCCTAGATCCGTTCCTAATATTTGGTTTTTAGCAAGATGAGAAAAAAAACTCATCTCCAACAACTCTTAATCCATCCTCCTAATCTTTTAGAAATTGGGAAAAGTCACCCTGCTCCGTGTGTTTGTCGGTCAATCTAAAGGTGGAAGGGCATGAAAAGAATAAAGAGTAGGAAATAGTTCCTGATGCAAATGTATAAGTAAGGCTGGATAACGAGCTGGCTCAGCTCGGCTCGTTCTGACTCGTTAAGATAACGAGCTAGCTCGGCTCGGCTCGTTATCCTAATGAGCCAGAAAGCCAGCTCGGCTCGGCTCGTTAAAAGCTCGAGCTGGCTCGTTAAGCTCGTGAGCCAGGTATAAAAAATACACAAAATATAATATTTGTATTTATCTAAAGTTTAAGAATAATAATAATATAAAAGAAATGCATCTAGACCAGTTAACAGTCAATTTATAGGGTCTAGACCAGTAACCAGTCAATTGTAAAGTGCAAGACATGAAGTAATACAAAAACTAATATAAGTTTTGATACTTTTTTTCTTAGAAGCTTGGCTCGTTTAGCTCGCAAGCTGGCTCGAGTTGGCTCGTTATAGCTAACGACCTAAAATCTTGGCTTGGCTCGGCTCGTTATCATAACGAGCCGAGCCGAGCTGAGTCGAGCCAGCCACGAGCCGAGCGAGCTAACGAGCTTCGAGTTTTTCGTCCAGCCTTATGTATAAGAGAGAAAGACTATATAAAAGTGGTTAGGATAATTTAGAAATAGTATAGGATTTCTGATGTAAAATTATCTTTTATATTTTAGGAGTGGATTATTAAAAACTTTTGGGCATTAACATCAACGATCAATAGCCAACTTCGACAACCTGACGCTGATGAGTTGAGCACTGAGGTGCTGCGGGTGTGGATAGACTACGACGGAGAGGCCAAGCAATTGGACGTGGCCTTTGGCTCCGGTGGCAATGGCGAAACTGCTGAGGCCGCTGGTGTCTTCCGCCTGCGATCTGTCCCAAGTGCTCACAGCTGACGGCAGGTTCGTTGGGTTGTCATCTGCAACTGGCATGGTCAACACAGGCCATTCTATTTTTTTTTCTATCTTTTTCTCGTATAAACGTAAAAGATAATAATAAATGCAACATTATGGGCCTTTGAATGTCCAACTATTCCTAACCCCAATACCTAAAGGTCAAAGTTTCTCACCAATAATTGCAGTTTTGATTAGTAATAAAACTTATTCTAAACCTAGATCGGTTGATGGTACAACTAATCAAACTGTGAATTAAAAGTTTGATCAATTCAATTTGTTGTCCAATCCTATGTAATCTAAATAAATAAATGTGCCTTCAAGCTATACATATATATACTAGTGTAATCCTCGATGGAGGCTGCCTTGTGAAGGTCTTCCCTCGTACTCATCAGCGGACAAATCGATCCTTGACATGTCACCAAATTACTACTTGCAGGCAGATGGTATGGAGAGTTCGTGTCTAGCCATGGCGGAGTCCGATTCCAATACATATTGGAATAGACGACGCAATCATAGAGTTAATCTCTGAGTCACAAATCGTTCGATAATGGTATGAGTCCGATTCTAGTATTATTTGATATTATGATGCAATCGGTGAATTAATTTCCAAATCTCAAATCATCCGGGCGCCACAATTAGTATGTTTGGTTCTGTTGCAACAAACGGCCGTGATTACTGTATATATCAGGCATACATTGTGCATATATAATGGTATGTATCACTTATTTTAAATTCTAGTTAGATTAATGGAAAACTAGAAAACACACAAGAATAAATAAATTTTAAAGTAAGGAAAGAAAGGTATTCTCTATTTGATTTGAAAATTATTCAGAAACAAGACCTTATCTGGGTTTTTTTTGGTGCCTATATGTCCTTGTATTATACCTGTACAAATATTTTCTTTACGAAAATGAGAAAAAAAGGTGGAGGCCACCCTTGTTGACTTCGGCAAAACTACCTTAGCTCAGGATCAAACCTAACTCAACACAAAACTTCTCAATTCACATTGACGATCACTAATCATCTCTGATCAGACCAGGTCATATCCTGATCTTTTCTCCTAAGAATTCAATAAATTCAACCACAGTCCCATGACTCTTCCATGATACCTTTCCAAATTACTCTCTTTATATAAATGAAGGCATATTTTGTTTGAATCAAACTTTACAAATTTTGATCAACAATTAACTGAATTATATGCATGTTCAATATATAAACATTTCACCAATCAAAATACATGTGTGGCCTTTAACTTTCTAGATTAGCCTAGGGTAGTTGATACGATTGTTGGTTGCAGGTAGCTCGTTTGGTTCATAACAGCATGTAGGTTGTCGCCTGATGCATAAAAAGAAATCCATAATCACTATATAAATCTGTACACTGGCTCCAAAATAGAATCACTTTGCAATATTATGATGGATTGACAAAGTATAACTGCAAAAGCATCAGCCATTACAGCTTATTACAAGACGGCTCCAATTTGCAAGTGATCGTCAATCAATAAAATTTTATTTCCTTTGGATACATACCTAGGAGTGCTTCCTGCCTTTCTTAAGATCGCCGTTTCCTAATTGGGATCGCCCATGCCACAACAACTGCAAGAGCGAATCCAGCCCCAAATCCCAGTCCAGCAATGAGGAATAGCACAACGTCTACAGATTCCTTCTTGGAATGATGTGACACCACACTTGTCGTCATAGTTGTGTTGATGCACCTTTTAGACAGTGGAGTCCCACACAAACCGTCATTTCCAAGAAACGAGCTGTTGATGAAGGTCAAGAAATGAGGTGACTGTGGTATGCTTCCCACCAGCTTGTTGTTGGACAAATTCAATGTCGTGAGGAAATCCAATGATGCTATCTCCTGTGGGATCTCCCCAGAAAGTTCATTGAAGGACAGATCTAGAGCCTCCAACTGAATCAAGTGACCGAGCTGAGGTGGAATTGGTCCGGTAAGGGAGTTATGTGAAATGTTGAGCCCATGTAGCAAATGAAGTTCCCCAATAGCTTCAGGGATGTTACCATGGAATGCATTATTTGAGAAATCAATGAATACAAGTGTTTTCAGTATCTTAGCGAAGGTGGTGTCATGCCCTTTATATGTGACTGCAGCAGAATATTTATATGCATACGCTGTTCCAGCATTTGGCAGTATGCGTTGCAAGATCAATGATGCATTTGCATCTGTGAGGGCCATCGACTTCAACTCCTGAAACCATCGGCCTTGGGGCAACGGTCCAGAGAAGTTGTTTGAGGATAGATCAATGATTATTGCACTTGAAAACGAACAGTTACTGTTTCCATCTGCAAGAGATTGTGCAACCTGCCCAGATAACTTGTTGGATTTCAGGACAAGGACTTCCAGTCAATTGAGTTCACTCATCCAACATGGAAAAGTGTCACTAATTTGATTGTTACCAATGTCAAGGACCTCCAAATTTTTGCAAGCAAGAAGGGATCTGGGTAGCTTCCCTTCAATTCTGTTGCCACTGAAATCTAATGCCACAAACGAGCAGCCTTTCTTGATATTGTCTGGGAATACTCCATTAAGTTTATTTTCTTTAAAATACAACGATTCCAGCCCATCGACATTCTCCATTAAACAGGAAGGGACCGATCCATTGAAGCCATTGTAAGAGAGATCAAGTAGTTGTATGCTCAATCCATCACAAAAGGACAATGGGATTTCTCCAGAAAAGTTGTTTCCAGAGGCCATGAAGAGGGAAACATCACTAAGATGAGAACTGAATTGAGAAGGCACAGATGAGAACATGTTATTCGAATAATCAAGCACGGTTGCTGATCCTTGAGGTATGGGTATGCATCCCTCAAACATATTGTTGCTAAGATCAAATATTTCTACTTGTAGTGGGAGAAAAGGAGAGTTATAACCGATGCTAGTAAATTTGTTGTTTGAGAGCTCGAAAGAGTATAGATTAGTCCAGGTCTCCCACGCCCAGTATGGTATAGCCCCATGGATCTCGTTATGTGAAAGAATGAGGGTATCAATTTCATCTTGATGCCTCAAGAAACTGGGAAATTTAGACAAGTTACATCTCTCTAAATCTAAGTGGAAGAGTTTTGGAAATGACGCTAATGAAGAATTATATTCTCCATCCAGCACAACAAGATTATTCTCAGAGAGATCCAAGGCAAAAAGGTCTGGCATGTTTGTAAGAAAGGTGAGCTCCACCGTGCCCACGAAGTTGTTCGAATAAAGCAAGAGCACTTGGAGCTGAGTTAGGTTTGAGATATGAGATGGTATTTCACCTTAAAAGCCACAGTCGCACAACACTAGTTCTTTCAGATACCTCAGATCGCCCAAGGAAGAAGGTATTGACCCTGACAGGCCACATTCATAGAACCGAAGAGAAGTCAAAGATGTAAGGTTTGCAACCCAGGATGGCATGGGACCCACTACTCCCATTCCGGAAATCTCTAATTCACTCAAGGACTTGAAATTACCAATTGATGTGGGTAGCTCTCCAGAAAAGCCACTAGCCCCGAGGCCCAACTTCCTCAAAGATATGAGGTCGCTAATGGAGCCCGGTATTATACCAGAAAAATTTGTTCTTCCAACATTTAGATTCTCCAAACAACTACCCCTTGAGAAATCCGGTAAGTAACCAGATACTTCAAGATTAGCATAAACATCGATCGTCACTAGTTTCTTTTGCTGAAAGATTGCAGGAGGTATCCATCCTTGAAGATCGTTATATCTAAGCTGAAGAACACTGAGATTGGTTAAGCTGGTAAAGGAATGTGGGAATGGGCCAGATAAATGATCATAGTCTAGGTTAATCACAGAAAGTGAACCCAAGCCAGAAAGCGAGCCACAGATAGGACCGGAGAGCCGACAATGCGGTAAGCTAAGCACCTGGAGTTGAGGACATGATACGACTAGGGCATCGCACCATCCGGTTCTGCTGCTTGACGACAAGTCCACAAAGCCAAGGTGCAGCTCCCTTAAATTGCTAAGGTTGTGGATTAGATTTTCTAAGCTCTTCTCCGTGAGCCGGACAGAGGGTGAGCTTCTGTGCACGAAGAGGAGGTAACCATCACTGTATAGGTCAACTACTTGGCAATCAGTAGAAATAATAGAGGCCAAGTTTGTGAGGCTAGCGATGCTTGCTGTTGGCACCGGGCCAGAAAAGCTGGAAGTGGAGAGGTTGAGATAGGTGAGCTTGGTGAGGCACTCAAACCCAGTGGATGGTAGCTATGACCCGTTGAAGTCATTGTAGGCAAGGTTGAGGTGCTCGAGGGAGGTGAGATCAAAGAGCACAGGATCAAGGGCTTAGCTCTCCAGCCCACGGCCTCCCAGGTCAAGGGAGGTGACGTGGTTGCCGGCGCCGGATTCCCCGCAACTAACGCCGTCCCAGCCGCAGCAGTCCGTGCCGGGCTTCCATGACCGGAAGGCAACGGCTGAGTAGTTGGTGGTGGCAAAGGACATCTTCAGCCGGAGCAGCGCTGACGCCTAGTCCGGCAGACACCGGACTGGCAGGGTAACAGCAGTGTGGTTGCTGCTGGTGAACGTTAACGCACCTGGTGCTGTTGCTGGTGCTGAAGGACGAAGCGAGCACACCAAGACTGCGGCATGGTGGATCTGTAGAAGCAGCAGAGATACTGCTTGCCATGGCGCACCATGGGCCTTCATGGTGGCCATCAAAGTGTGGATGGCTCCTGGCTAAGAAGTGTTGCAATGGTCCTTGAGCTTCTACTTTACTTGCGCTTGTGAGGACATCCTGACCGTGCCTAGATTTATATATATACATATACAGTGTCAGGTGGTACACTGTTTAAGCGCTGACCATGTGTGTGGATGTTGGACAAGCAAGGCAGGCCAGATCTAGTTCAGACTAACGGGGTCATGTATACCCAACAAAATTTAATAGGAAATCATTATCCTGACTATGCTAGCTTATACTTTTTAAAGTCGCCCACCATCCTGAGTCTAAGGTCGCCCACCACTATATGCTTTCTCTTTTCCTACTAAGTGGACCAAGTCTGTGGACCAAACGAAAGTCTTCTCCACGTACTCCCTTGGATTAAGTTGGACAGTTTGCTATGAAGCAAACCACCTACTAGGTGGAAACATAGAAACCAATTCAAAAGACATATTTTGTTCATTCAAAAAAATTTAAAACTTGGTACATACAAAGTGCACACAAATATGTATACACACGAAAAATTTGAGATACAAACTCAAACTAGAAAAAATCATACGAAAATAACAAATATAAGGTTTATGTGCATAAAAGACGAAATCTTGTAATTTTGTCTTTTAGTGCACATGAACCTAAAATTTGTCACTTCCGTATGAAATTTTTCAAATGGAAGTTTGAATTTTCACATTTGCATGTGAGTACACATTTGTATACACTATAGATGTGCAAGTTTCAAAAAAAATTAGATGACCAAAATAAGTTTTTTTAAATTGTTTTCCATGTTTCCACCTTGTGGATGGTTTCGACAACATATTTTGCTAGGAATCCATGCAGCAATGGCTCTCCTAGAATGGAACAGAAAGAAAGAGAGAAACAGAGGGAACAGGAGATACACAATGGTTCTCCTAGAATGGAGCAAAAAGAAAGAAACATACTAAGGGAATACGAGATACGGAATGGTTGCTGCCTTGATGAGTGTGCGTTGTTGGTTGGAAGCTGCATCATATATTCTGAACGAGTAGAAGCAATATCTTTTATAACTCTTATAAAGCTAATCTCCACTACAAGTTATATCTCAACATGCAAGCCATACACATTATTTTTCACTAACTATCTACATCATCTACCACTAATAGCCAATGTCATCTCACTAACTTCCAACATTTTAATGCAACTAATTTTGATAAGAATAGATGTAACAACATGTAGATGATTTAACTCATATATGCAATAGTTTTATTCTAAGAGAGTCCCACAGCAACACGCGGGCGCAGGGTATCTTCTAGTTTTTTTTTAAAAAAAAAAGAGAGTTGTTTGGTTGTTTCAGTTGGTTCTAACTTGTATGAGCAGAGTCGTGAGTTCGGATCACATATCAGACACAAACGCACTTTAGGACATAAAAAAGATAGGTGGTATAGATTTGCTTAGTGGTTGTCACATCACATCCCACTCAACATGTGTCCACATGGCTAAAACCACTACTCGGCATCACATCACGGTAAAACCATCTTGTAGATGGCTCAAGACGCTCATTTGTACAGTTTTTGTCACTGAGGGAAGGACTAATGCCTAGTCTTTCAGTTAAGCTAGGAAATGCGGACTCAATTGATAGTTTAGTACAGGTAAATTTGACTTTTTGTTTCTTTGGCATGAAATTTTCAGGTATTGATTAGGCCCATTGTTTTATGGGCCCTCAGCCCATCATTCTATCGTTTGGTCAGCCCACGGCCCAAATTGGAACGTGTCAGATATATTGCTGGTCAAAGAAAATGGCTGTCAAAGATAAGGTTGAAGTTGCAATCAAAGACCCATCCAAAGTGATAGCGCTAACTGGTCAACATTACGTGCTTGACAGCCTCGCCGCCACCGACAGTCTCTACACGGACCACTACTCTCAAAGCCACTTGGCCTTCTCCGTTCCAAATGTGTAACCCCACCGACGGGCGATGGCTCCCTCTTCTCCTTCTGCCTTATAATATAAACTTATATAGATACAGATATAGTAGTACGGGGGATGGAATTACCTTTGTCCACGCCGTAGAAACCAGCTTCACCGATGTAACCACTAGTTAAGGCTCCTTTTGTCTTCTTGACCCCTACGACAACGGCAAATTGTCAAATCACCTCGTGTACATTGAGATAGATACCACAGTTACAACAGAGAGTTCAGTGACACAGACGACAACCATGTCCGAATCGACATCAACAGCTTGAACTCCTCATGATCCCCCTCTTCGGCAGGCTAATCCATTCTCATAGTTGCACCCCCTTAGACAAAACACAAGGATTAGGTCATTACTAGCTAGTCAAAATGTGTCGGAGGTGTGCCTCGGGTCATCCCCAACATATTGGTTATCTAAAACTGAAAACCGGATCACACTGACAGATTCTTGCAGTTGTTTCAGCTCTTTTTTTAGGTTCAGCTGGTTTTCGCTCACTTCTAGCAGCAATGTAATTATTGGATATGCAGTTGAATACATATACCATAATCTTTATGAAAAAAGAGGTATATACCATATATAAGTCCATTGCAAGTCAAAGCTCTGGGACAACCACCAACTGTATTTTTAACAACTTCAGTATGCTTCAAATAAAGTTATAAACTGGAACGTCAATTATCATCCACAGAAGTCCACATTATTTCCACACGGTTCAGAATGAGACCGCAAGTCAGAGATGTGGGACCAACGGCAAGTACAGAAATTTCCACACGCCAGGACGACGAACAAATGTAGGCCCCGTTCGCTGGGAGGAATTTGAAGGAATCTGGATGAATCTGAAGGAATTTATGAGAGGAAATCATCCATAAACAGTAAAATTCAGCCGGGGACGGTACTTCCTCCATACCAGCCGAACGCGGCCGTAAATTGAACTGACAGCCCACCAAACCCAAAACGTGCATTTGTTGGTTAGACAAATTATCAAGCCCACAAGTTTTGAACAGAGCTAAGATTTTGCCTCCATAAATAAAGCTAGGTTACCATATTTGCAGAGTACACCGCGGTACTGCTGCTGCTGCTGCTGTCCAATGATGATCTTCAAGAACTTGCTCTGTGCCATTCTGTTCTTGCTCCCACTCGTCCTTGCCGCCGTCACCGATGAGGAGTTCGTGTTCAATGGATTCAATGGTTCTTCCGGCTGGGCCCTCCAAGGTTCGGCTGTGATGCTGCCAAATGGCATCCTCAGCCTCGGCGCCACCAACAGCGCCAGTATAGCCTATACCAAGAGCCTACGCCAATATGTATTGGAACAGACGACGCAATCATTGAGTTAATCTCTGAGTCACAAATCGTTCAGTAATGGTAGTATGGAGTCCGATTATTGGATATTATGACGCAATCGCTGAATAAATTTCCAAATCACAAACCATCCAGGTGCCACAAGTTGTATGTTTGGTTCTGTTGCAACAAACGGGCGTCATTACTAGTATATATCAGACATACATTGTGCATAAAGGTATGTATTAAGTATTTTAAATTTTAGTAAGATTAAGGTCCCGTTTGGCACGGCTCCACTTCACCCATGAAGCTTTTTTTTAGGCTTCAGCTCCATAAATAGCTCTATGGGTGGAGCTGTAGCCGTTTTGATAAATTGTTTGGCAAAACAGCTTCACATATAGTTTTTCTTAAAATATGCTCTCAGAGAATGCCATGTAGAATGAGGTGAAGTCGAGAGAAGCCACTATTTTTGGCTCATTCCCACCCCAAAGCTCTGTGAGAGCATGTTTTTAGAGGCTTCATCGGTGGAGCCGTTTTATTTTATCCCGTTTGGCAGAAAACGGCTCCAAACGGCTTCTGAAACCGTTAAAGAAGCCCTGCCAAACGGGGCCTAATGAAAAACTAGAAAACACACAAGAATAAATAAATTTTAAAGTAAGGAAAGAAAATGTATTCTCTATTTGAAAATTATTCAGAAACACCACCTTATCTGGTTTTGTTTTGTGCCCATGTCCTTATACCTGTGCATGTCGTTTGGAGAAATTTGGAGAAATCTGGATGGTTTTGTATTAATCTGGAGGAATTTGTGAGAGGAAAATACTGTTCCGGATGAAAAAAGAAGCGGATAGCTGGGTTTAAGGGCACGCGAACGGGGCCAAAATGAGAAAAAAAGGTGGAGGCCACCCTTGTTGACTTCGGCAAAAGTACCTCAGCTCAGGATCAAACCTAACTCGAACACAAAACTTCTCAATTCACATTGACGATCTTTTCTCCTAAGAATTCAATAAATTCAACCACAGTCCCATGACTCTGCCATAATACCTTTCCAAATTACTCTCTTTACATAAATGAAGGTATATTTTGTTTTGAATCAAACTTTACAAATTTTGATCAACAATTAATTGAATTATATGCATGTTCAATATATAAAAATTCACCAATTAATCAAAAATACACGTGTGGCCTTAACTTTCTATACTAGCGCGCTTAGGGTAGTTGATATGATTGGTTCTAGCTAGGTTGCTAAACTCTTTGGGGTTGAAGGTAGCTCGTTTGGTTCATAACAGGACAGCATGTAGGTTGTTGCCTGATGCATAAAAAAATCCATAATCACTATACAAATCTGTGCAGTGGCTCAAGAATAGAATCATTTTGCAATATTATGATAGATTGACAAAGTATAACCGCAAAAGCATCGGCCATGACAGCTTATTACAAGACAGCTCCTATTGTAAAGTGGTCGTCAATCAAATAAACTTTTATTTCCTTATGATGGAGTGCTTCCTGCCTTTCTTAAGATCGTCGTTTCTTAAGGGCAAGACTAATAATATAACCGGCTGCTGACTGTAAGGATCTTTGCGGTCTATTTCTCAGCTCACCCATATTATAGTTAGCTCTTCAATATTAATATATGGCTCATTTATCTCTCTCACAAAGTTTCTTGGTTGTTGTGTCTAAGCCTGCTATAAGTTTATAGTTCGCTTCTCCTCTCTCT